ATCACCGGAGCACCGCCAACGTCGTGTTCCATCTTTCCGAACGCGACATCGAATGGTGCAACTATTCAACAACTCGCTTGGCTTCCTTCCCGTCTTGCGAGGAGCTTCGTCGCTCGGCAAGATCTCCTCATCGTCAGTCAAGTTCTCAAGGGGAACGCCAACCTACCAATACGTTAAAGCGAATTCAGATTCATGAGAATTCACGTACATCTCCTTGCTCCGTCACCTTTTGGCTGCACGACGGGCATCTGCTGCAGTTGCTTTTGTAGCCTTGTGGCGTTTGTTCCTGTCCCGGGTGGTCGTCGCATCGTCAAACAGACGCTTCGCCGCCGTCGTAGCAGTTTCTCTGGGTACCTGAGTGGACGTTACTTTCTATAGACTGGATAAGTTCAATAGGTAGACGAACCGTGCCGCCATCTTTCTCGATGGCAAGTATGGCCGCTGCCGTCAAATCGTCAACCCATTTGATGAGAAGTAGATTCTCGCCGGATTTCCCAGTGAGGTAACGCCTGAGAATTGGAACGACAGCCTCCAGGGCGGGCCCACGCCCTTTAAACTTAATGGGTCCGTGATCACGGTCGCCGAATTGGGGTTCCAGGTGCTTGTTAACCACGCCTTGGGCCGAGCCGTAATCGTCTATATCCTCCTGATTCGGCTCATAGTCCATGAACTGATAGGCGTCGTTGGCAGGAATTGATTGTGGGAGTGCTTTGAGACAGCGGTCGAGCTTCTTGAGCTCATCGCTGTAATACGCGGTCATCCGCCTAATGGAGAAACTTTAGATCAGCACGTAAAGATTTATATCTGGCTAGTACCTGGTCGACGCGGGGTAGGCCGTGTACACTGATTCCACTGCAGTCGAAACAGAAGGCGCGTTGTGCAAGGCTCAGCGTTGTCGGAAGGAAAAAAAAGTCGATCACCGTGACGCGTGAGTAGGAAAGTATTACATAATTAAAAACCTTAAAAACAAGGGGGGTTCAGCACTTGGTCGGTTTATATTGTTTAAAACAGGCTGTTTTAAACGTTGTTTACAAACATCCCCTTACTAACCAAGCCCTATCGACGCGCAAGCACTTCAACATCGTAGACGCGCTGCTGCCCAGAATCGCGTGGTCTCGCCAGAATAACCCCCGTGTCACTACCACTATTCGCAACATACACTAGTCGCGTGACGTGGTCATATATCAGAACAATCGCCGAGCAGCCTTTTACTGCTGCCTGTAGCAGCGGGTCATCTATAGATTGACTGACGTTGGGCGTGCAGCCCCACCGTCTCGCCAGCCGAATGGCCTCACTAATTCCTGCGAAACGCACTACAAGATCTACGGCGGGCCTCTTTTTTACAAGGCAACCTATTTTCCAAATGCTAAGACTATCATTGAAACCGCGTCACCGTCCTCCATCTCCTTCACTAATTGCCCATCCCAGTCCAGCCTAGGGACTCCATCACCCGACGTGCGACATTCCGCTCTTCATACAGCCCATCTTCATTCTGAGTTCCATATTCATGCGACGCCAGTTTATTGAAGACGCCTTGGGAGGAGCAGTACCAATGGTCTGGTGGTGCCCAATGACCTGTCTTCTTTTGCTTCTTCTTCGCCTGCTTCGTCACAGGTGGCGTCGGGTCAGTGAGACATTTATTGACGAGATCGAATCTCTCCTTCGGAGACAGAGAGGATGGGAAGATGTTTGATGACGCTACAATCAGGACGTCACCTTCCTCTGCTCTGACACTTGCGGTGACAGGCTCAGCAGTGAGGTAGGGAGGGGTCTGAACGTTGGTCGCGAAGTGAGAATCTCCGGTCCAGCCAACCATTTTACGGATCTCGTTCGTCCACTTCCATGGTGCCATGCCAAACACTCGGAGTGGTACCGTACCCCCACAGCCGCCCAGATACGTCAACCACATCTTTCTCCCGACCTTTCGACCCGTAAGATATCGTCAGGCCGTGGTAATGGTGCGAGAACCTCGACATCATACTCGCAAGATGTTCCAGTGCCAGACGTTCTCCTTCGAGCGAATATGGCACCCGCGTTCCCTGTATTAGCGATGTGCGCCAAATGCGTCGTCGAGTCCCATATGACAGCCAGGAGCGATGATCCAGACAGAGCTGCCGAAACTTCGGGCGGCGTGGAAAGAGTCTCATCTTCTGCCTTTGCCTTTGCCTCCCACTTATCTGCGTGCTTGTCCACATTGCAGAAAGGGCATAGGCGCTCAGGCTAACGAGCTCGTCGTCAATGTCTAAGAAAATGTCCTTCACTAGCCCTTCTATCTCTCCTGCGGATGGATATAGACTCTCTGGTTTAAGAACTTCCTCTGCTACTCGCGTCGCGGCGGACGCGTGTAGTTCAGGCACTGTTGACATGCGATTACGCCACCGTTCGCTGAACGAGTTCCCAAACCGCGAGTCAACCCATTGAGTCGCGTGATGTCCGTAGTGGTTCTCTAAAAGGCAATATATCGATACCGTGTAGCCGTTTTCATGTACTGATATAGCACCAATGTGATGCCGTGAAATGGGGTCCCTGGAAGCAAAAATCAATAAGAGGCTTGAACCAAAAAGTTCAAAGGCCAACTTTGCAATCGTGTGATAATCGAAGCGCGCCATTCCATGCTCCACGTTCAAATAGGAAATGTTCTCCCACACGACGTCAGATTTCTCTATAAGAAGCTGTCACTTGAGTTTGCGCATATGAAGGAGGCGACTCGCCATTCGTAGAAACGTAGGGAACCTTGAAAGGGGAAACAGAGATTGCATATGCCGGTAGGAGGTATTGTAAGCGCGAGAAGCTGAAATTAAACCGCGACATTACGAGTCGCCAGTCAAGTACATGAACGCAAGAAGCAACCCTGTTTGATAACACGCGGTGGTCAACATATCCGAGATAGCCGATCAATCGCACTTAATGCGGTTCAATCGTGTCGACGCTTTCAACGACACAATCTAAGCCGCTGAAGGTCGGAATTGACCGCTATGCAAGGAATCTTGCTTACTGCATCGATGAAGAGGCTTTGAGATGGCTACCAAGCGGTGGATTCATGCACCGGTAGGAGAGACCAAGATTCTAGGAGTCAAGAAGGCTACACAGAAGGGAGAAAAAGGTATGCAACTAAAAGTCCCTTGGGTATAGTTCGTGGCGTGGCGCGCCACGAGGGGCTGGACAACAAGGACAAGGTGGAGCATTTACTGTTTTAGTCAACTGTATAGTGGAAGCACTCGAATCACGATATCAACTATCATTTGTACCTGTAGCTGCAGAGGACGGACGTGCTGAAGAGGAATCCAATCCCCTTATCTGTGAAAGACATGAAACAGTCATCCTTGGGGTGCACGTTGAGACGTACTTCGTTCTTCAGAGCGATTCTCAAAGCCTCGGCCTCTCTCATACAAGCATGCGATGCACGAGAGAGGCTGTATGCACCCAATGCATAGTGGAAAATGTATAACGGACGGAGCCGGCGTCGATGGAGTGACTCGAGATCATGGACACGGTCATGGATTCTACGAAGCAATTCCGCGTTTAGTCAAAGCATTCCCCAAGGAACAACAATGCAACGGACTCATCTAACGCGAAATGACCTGACGCGCAGATGCGGTACACGGGTCCGTTTGCTCGACGCCGAGCATGGTCTTCGAGCCAGTCGCGGGTGTCGTTTATGGTACGCCGTGTCTGCGAGAGAATGCTTCCCGGCCAAATGAGGGGAACGATGAGGAGGGTGATAGCGGATACCACATAGAAAACAACTGCCGCTATAGCACCCGTCGTTGGATTTGAGGTAGCCAAACCGATCAAGTAGGCTACAAGCTGAGCCTTCAAGTCGAATCCGGCGGGAGGGTCCTGCGAGAGAGACATGTGAGTTTTCTGAAAGAAAAAATAGACAAACGAGCCTTTATGGATGAACTGGAGCTGATACCTATCTATTGTGGCAAACGGAGGCAAAAAAACAGGAAAGGCGGAGTCGGAGTAAACGTACTGTATACATTCGAAATTCGAACTGACGTTGTGCCTGCGAGACGGCCCGTTCGCGTTATGACCTATCCTAGGCGAAGTTTTATTAGGTTCGACCGGCCCTGCGGAGTCCGCTATTCAGACGTCGATGGCCAATCAGCCATTGAGGACGGCGGAACAATCGCATATTGACACGTCGTTCCTGGTGCTGTAAGTACCATGAAATTATACAAGGCAATAAATAGTCTTGCACTGCAATTCACGCCGCGACTGAGATGCTGATTTGATTAAAGGGAATCTCATAGGAGAACGAGAGAGCGCACCGGTGTCATAGCTGTCATGAGGACATGAGAGAACATGCGAGAGATCAATACGAGCCGCGAATCTCCATGAGCGCAACGGGTAGTGAATGCTTTAGGTAGGTTGTCTTCTGGGGACGCCACTAGCGAGCTGCGACGAAGATCAGAAGTGCCAACTGTCCTTCGGTACCTCTCGGACTTACAACCCTGAAAACTTCTTTTCGACGGAGAGAGCGGGGGCAGCCTGGACGGCCACAGAAATGAGAACAACCGAGCATTCTAGCATCGATGCGGAGTGTTTTTGTTGAGCGACCACACATCCTAGTGGTAACATCATCTATAGCATTTTCTGTGGCAGTTAGAAGATGGGTCGGCGTATCGCAGTGATTGGAGCCGTTGATGAAGGCTTCAAGGAAGAGGTCGGATGGACGCAAGGGACAACCGACGATGATGACATTCGACGCCGGACGGAATTGCGTCTCATTGGATGAAGACCCTGGTAAAAGCATCTTCTTAACAATCGCTGCACAGGTGGTTCGCCAGCATGCCAATGCAGAATCGCGAACCAACAGTAGATATAGTTTCAGCTTCACGACTAACAGGTGCTTGGGCAGTCAAATCATGGATCATCCGCTCCGCTGGTGGACTGATAGTATCAGTAAAATGCGTACCTCATAGGCAGAATTTACCTTGGATTTGCCTCACGCAAAGCGCAAGAGAGATGAGGGGACGACGCGATCTAAGGCCACGTGCCCCATGGCTGAGTTGGTTACAGCGTCCGACTGTTATTCGTCCATATGATAAAACTATCGGAAGGTCGAGAGTTCGAGCCTCTCTGGGGCAGTGGTTGTGTAACAGTACCATGCATTTTTGAAGTTTTAACCCAGGAATCTACCAGGAATTTAATCAGGTCCCAGGAATCAGGCGAACGAATCAGGGCCCAGGCGGGCGACGGTCTATTGAATATCTTACATTATGCCAGAGGGTTCTTATAATACGCGCGTCAGTACTTGCCGATGAACGCTTCCAAAGTCAACACAGCCGTCCTTGAGACTTCTGTATCCAGGTTCCTCTACAGAATGCAGGAAATTGACAGAGCTCCTAGTCGCCACAGCAGAGATATTCGTCGCATGCGATGTCTTGTTTTATACTTTTCTACATACAGACCATACAGACAGTAATTAGAGGAAGGCTACAATAGGAATACAGTTATGGATACAGTGGGTGGAGAACGGGTATACAAGTACGTGCAAGAGTCGCAGGGCATAATAGTGGCATGAAGAACGGAAAAGACTGGACGGACGACGAGGCATCCAGGGGGCATGAACGCGACAGACCTACAACGACTCTCAGTCAACAAGGTAGAGGGCAAAATGGACAACAACATACCTAAGCTGCGCGGGAAAGAACGCACGAACGTTCATCTTGCCAGTTTTCTTCGGCGCAGGAAAGGGGGCCGATGGTGGAGGGACAAAAGCAGTCGCAAGGAACTCCTGCTGGGCAAGGTTCAGCGGTGCCGGCCTACGCTTTTTGTCCTTGCGCACAGGCTCTTTCGGCAAGAGCGGCTCGTATTCCTCTTCGTCCCACCACACAGCGCCTTGACCGTCAGCAACGGCACCCTGGCCAACAGCGCGCGCCATGTGCTTGTCGAGCTTTCCGCCGCCGCTAAACTGCGCGAGCAGAATGTCATCCATAAGGGTTGGCGGGAGAGGCGGCACCTTGGACCGGAAGGCCGTTTGAATGCAGAGTTGGACATGCTCTTGGACCGGGCGCGTGAGCAAGAAAAGGCAGAGGCCAGCTTGGAGGGAGATGCATCGGTAGGTGCGTCAGGTGTAGAGGGCGTAGTGGGTAGATGGACAAAGACCGAGGTGTATCCGAGCGCGGTCAGATCGAACTGATGTGCCGATGAAGGCGTGTAGGTAGACTTGCTCGTCGCGGGCGTCGGCGGCGCTGGCGTGCCAGGTTGAACGGCAGCGGCCCAGGTGCAGATAGAGGTGGTGAACGTGGCAGAGCGTGCGCGGGACATGATGGGTATGGTGGGGTATTAGGTCTGCTCGTCGTGATCAGTATTGTCGTCGTCGCTGTTGACAACGATGCACGCACCGTTAAGGATATAGACAGAGAAATTAATGGGACGGAAGATGGGAGACTAGCTCGATGGGGCCCTTTTGAATTCGCCATGCTCTTATACTGTTTTCGGACAAAAGTGTCGGCGTACAATAGGCTTGACGTATAAATAGACCACAACAATCTCTTTCGGTTTTCACCGCCCGGCCCAAGTTCTAGCCTAGGTCCTATCTTCGGTCTTGGTAATGTCAGACCGTTGCTGCCTCCTGGTAGCGACGTCTCTCTGCTATAGAACAATTCGCCTCGAAAGCCCAATTATCTTGACTAGCATTCTACCCGCCTTCTTCCCAATTCGGAGTACCTTTAATTGTCCTACCTCTCTCCCCGCTCTTCGAACATTGTGTTTCCGTACCTGGAAGAACAAAAGTAACCATTCTGGGGTACATCTTCCCTGTCAGATGACCTTATCACTGCCCGATTTGCGTCCGCGGATGCTTTCAATTGTCCATGTCGACGTCGAACTGACGACACTGTGATGCTTCTCTGCCTGCTGGCTACACCTGAAACTCTTGCATGTAATCTGGCACGTCTTCCTCCAGCTTCTACCCTTGTCCTAATGCACGTACGTGACAAGATCCTTCGACAATCTCCGCCTTCAACGGCTTCTCCAAATACTCGGCCTCAACTCGATCTGTAACTCGCCGTTAAAGCGTAGTGGCTGTACTCTGTGTCGCTACCTTGTACCTATTCCGTAAATTCTCGCCGTCGACAGGTCCCTCTATGATTCACACGACCAGACAGATGCTTGGGCTCAGTTTGTATCCGGGCGACTCGTGCTCCTCAGTAATCAGAAGCTCCCCCAACCATCTCGAGGTCATAGTCCAGCTCTCATCTCAGCCCCTTAGTAAGTTCATGCCGTTCCAGTAGGACTAGTCCGCTAAACGTCGGATAGCCTTCTCTCTAGCTGTATTACCCGGTCGCCGGGAAATGACTGTCGTGTAGTCACTGCACTGACACACTCGACTTCATAAAAGAGGTGCGACTTTCGCCTTTGCCATCACCTAGCTAATGACGTCTCTCCCAAAACTCCTAGCAGGCAACTCTAGCGTCTCGGTACGCATCATCGAAGCTGGTAGATTCACCGCTCCCGCCTCTCTTCTATTTTCACCCGTCCCTCCCGGACATGAAATTGAGCAAGGACCGATATTCGCATTTCTCATCGAGCACCCTACCCTGGGATGTGCCATGTTCGACTTGGGGATACGGAAGGACATGAAGAACGTTCCGGAAGCTTACAAGGATTTAGGTGTCAGTTATACAGTTCCTACAGGCCAAGATGTGTCGGATACGCTGAAGGATGGGGGCGTGCCTCTGGACACTGTGAGGGCCGTAATCTGGAGGTGAGTCCGAATACTACAAGTCTAAATCCAAACTGACGAGCAACAAGCCATTATCATGTAGATCACACCGGTAACGATGTGTGGTCTTGATCAGATTGTACCGCGCTGAAATCCTCGGATGGTAGGCGACGTATCGACCTTCCCCTTGACCACGGAACTCGTCATCCACGAAGACACGGACACACGCACATACCCGACACAGCCATCTTCAACGCTCATGGAGAGCGATTTCGCGTAAGCGTCTACTACATCCTCACCGTTCTTTGCTTGACGCAGTACACTCCAGAAATCGTAACGTCAGAAAACTATCCTTCGCGCAGCCCGACATAGACATCGCGGGTCTCGACGCGCTCGACTACTTCCACGACGGGAGCTTGTACATCCTCAACACGCCTGGGGTACGCTTCACCTCTGTCTTGTACTCAACCTCACACGCATACGTAGCACTGTCCCGGACACATATCAGCCCTCGCCCGCGTAACTCCCCATACATTTGTCCTCCTAGGAGGCGACTGCTGTCACCACGTAGGCGATCTACGCCCCAACACTCTCGCGCCTTGTCCTTCCCACATCCTCGAAGCCGCCCGTCTATCCATGTCACAGGAATTCGACTTGGAAGGAACGACACCGCTGTTACAGCCGTCGCGCTCTTTGTACGAGGACTACCCCGGCAAACGCGACTTTGGCCAAGTTGGCGGGGTTGGACGCGCACCCGGATGTGCTGACGCTGATTGCACATGATAAATCCTTGGAGGGCGTCGTGGATATGTTTCCGGGGCGTGTTGATGAGTGGAAGGAGAGAGGGTGGAAGGAGGAGGTTATGTGGTCATTTATGAAGGAGGGAAATCCGGCGTGGAGGTTTGGAGAAAAGAAGCACGAATAGTCTAGCATTCAACGCGCACTGCATGCACTCAACCGCTCAGCCTATCAAGTGACGCAGTCTTCGCTCCGGCAGAGTCATAACCAACTCGCCTTTTCATATCTGTACTACTTGACTGTCGGGCAATGTCTTGTCTAAATGTTATCGCAATGCTATCTTAGCACTCCCAGCTGTTGTATTTACTTAGTTGATACCCTTATTACTGTTAGCTCTACTACTTCTCGTTTTAGAATCAATCAATCAACTCAGTCCGTTTCCTGGTCTGATAAGAGTACACATTTTCTCGCTCTCCATTGACACCACTACAGAGGTAGTGGAATTAATAGGTTCGTTAGAAATGAGGCTTTAGCCTTCGGGAGTAGTCGTTTCTACGCGTTCCGGTGACTGCCGTGTACAGTGGCCGATCACTCCTTTCACTTAACCACCATGTCGGTCACTGCGCACCAAACCTAGCGGCGCTATATACTCATTTTCCCCAACTACTCAAGGCTCATCGCCAGACGCATGACAAACCCTCTCAACAGGTTTGGGACAGGAGCCAGACAAAAAAACCTCAGCCTCAAAAAATGGATGCAACTCGTCTGGCCAGCTCTGCCCCACCCCGGAGAATGGACATCAATTTTTTTTTGGCCTCTAGCCTTCCTCCCGCTCTTTCCTGACTATTAGGCACGGGTACGAACTCTTGCTGTCATACCGTGCAATACACCAGACACCCTCTCGATACTCTGCCCGCTTATCCTCTACCACTAGCAAAACTCTTCATTCCGTCGTTTAGGATCGAATATGGACCTTCTGTCTGTAAACGCGCCGATAAATCTTACCTGAACTGACTACACGTGTTCATCCCGTACGGTCCACGACTTTGTTTCATCGCCAAACGCTCATCATGTCTTCCAGCTGATTATGCTACCTTGCCTAAAGTCGACTTTCAGAGTTCTACGCGTTCAATTAACATTTCATAGCAGAGCACCAAAATAGGAAGCGGACGCGTTTCGACGCCGTCTTCTTTTGTCTCTTGTGACAGCGTCTAGAGCTGTACTAGTACCTGCGTGCCTATACCCATCCAGAGCCTAGCGGACCGCTCATTGGATGCACCAGAGTACGTCGTTGGATTGGTTGCATGACAGCCAATGAGCTGCGTGCGGTGAACGTCTGATTGGATTGGGAGGTATATACAGCTCCACTGTTAGAGATCACGGTTTGACCGCTGACTATTTTTAGAATCATAGAAGTAACAGACACGATTTTCATGGCTGATGCGTAGCACTTGGATTTGTTTTACGAGAAAATGCTGGATCGATCATGAAAGTGTGGCGGTGGTATCATGTCAGGGTTCGTGCTCTTTCTTCGCACTGTCGTCCCATTGACCTTCATCTCATTGCTCTCAGTTCGTCACTCGGTGTTGGAGTAACCCCGACAATCGACATACCGCCTGATCCTAATACGTGATACTCCAGACCATAATCGAGACTAGAGCTCAACAGCAGTCCGTAACGT